GAAGGACTGATATAACACTACTCATTTCTGGAGTATCTTTAACTATTCCAATTTACCTCAAAATTGATCTTTCAATAAAGTCCCAGTGGAGAAGGCAACAAGAAACCACTTCAATATCAATTCCAAGATGAATTCTAGTAATCCACAATTTTAATTTCCACAAATTAGACTTCCCTCTTAACATTTTCGAAAATTAGTTAAAAACAAACAAATAAAATAATTATATCAATAATGAAGATAACTGGCAGTTCGGCTTCAGTCATTTGCCAATCACTGTAAAGTTGTCTCTCCATGTACTTTATTTCTAAAATAGTCATGGCAATTCACAGTTAATAAAAGAAGTGGAAGCTGTATCAATTCATGACTTTCTACATTCAAAAAGGACATATAAATTAATTATATATAATAAAATAAACATTTCTTTTTTTATTTCCTTTTATTTTCAATACAAAGTAAATACATTTTTTACCAACAAGGAAAAGAATAAAGCAAAATAATAGTAATGGTAATATTAACCGTTTCCCTATAAGGAAACATTTGGCATTCATTGACTAAGCAGCCAGTACTTCTGTCAATGGAAATCTTTCTCTCAAAAATGCTGTTTCAGGAAAATAAGTTTCTCAAGTCCAGTTGCTGTTATCACTCTTTCCAGTATTCATGAGGAGTTTTCTTCCTAACCTTTTATTTGAAGTAGTGTGGAATGTCAACATCTTGGTTATGTCATTATTTTCTCTTTGAGTTACATGTGATATCTATTTTATCTGTTGCAAGTCCTCAAGTGATATTTTATAAAATATCAAAAGGATAGAAAAGAGTAAAATAGCAATTCCTTTTCAGGTATAAATTTTAGAAAATTATACAGATAATGACTCTCAAATTAGAGTAACAGAAAATAAATGAAATTAAATTTCTCTGAAATGGCAATAAATTTCTAAGCAAAACTATGGAAGAAAATGACAAAAAAGAAGATATGAAACGCCGACAAATGACTTTAACTGTAGATGATAAAATATGATTCCTAAAGGTGTTAAGTGATGGTCATGTTTTTAAAAGCAGTCTTTCCTTGAGAATATTTCTCTTAATAAGTTAATTTTCATAATTAATTCTTGTAAGTTCACAGCCAATTTTTTATTAATAAATAGATAATCTCAGGAAACTGATTTTTCATACAAATCATATGATATAACTGTGGTGTGGGAATATGTAGCATAGACCTTGTTTAATTTAGATGAAACATATGACAACATAAATATATGAAAATTTCAAACAAAATACAAAAGTCTTTGTTTAAAACACCATTATATATATATATATATATATATATATATATATATATATATATATATATATATATATATATATATATACACACAGGGTGACACAAAAATGGGAACTTTTTAACAATCCAATAAAACCAAGAGTGATGGAAGAAAAATATTTTATTCATAGTAATTGAAACCTTAAACATACCATTTAAGAAACAATGATGGAATTTTCATTTTTAAAAAATTACGTCCTGTAGATGGCGTCCTCCTGTACGAATGCATTCTTGAAATCTGCTGTTGAGATTCCTCATTGACTGCTGCAACATCTCAGCTGGGATACTGTGAATTTCATCTTGAATTCTAAATGGTGAAATGTTTACTTGCTCAAGGTCACTGAATCGCAGTGTTGCCACTTACTCATGTCTGGCAATATGCACTTCAAAAATTTCCGTTTTTTTTTTTGTCACCTATATATATATATATATATATATATATATATATATTTAAAATTTTAATATAAGGTTTATATATATGTACATGCAAAATACTTAGTACTAAAAACAATATAAATTTTGTACTTATCTGTCTGCTTGTTATGTGCCTTAAATTGTGCATCTTATTAGAACAAAGGAGCAAAAAGAGAAAGATTGACTTGTCAGCCTTTTCCTCATGAGTGTTATCTATAAGCAAAAATCAAGATTTTATTCAAATTTAATTGATCTGGTTTGAATAGGTACTTTTTATATATTATATAGGCTATTCATATTCTAAACCGTTGAGAATAGGATTGATATTCTATTGTCTTATATAGGGACTTGCCTGTAAGGTTGGTAGGAGTAAATGTATATATTAGCAATTTATTAAAAAAAAAAAAAAAAATTCATAATTTTGGGGAGGATACAAATTTGAAAAAAAAACATGAGTAAATGACTCATTCCAAGAAATACCAGATGGTCTGAATAAAATTTAATATTCAATATAGAACATCTGATCTAAGAGAAGTTGACATTCAATGATCCCAATATATACTGGGCTTACCCTAGGAAATACCAAAATAGAATTCAGGGTCACACCAGTGGAGCCAGTTTCATCAGCCCCATCATAAGAGAAGTTCCACATTCAAATAAAGCCCCCCAAAGCCACACAACTTAATGACGATATTAATTGATAAAGTCTGGAGGAGAATAAGTAATAATTTTACATATGAGAGAGTAGTCTTGTCTTATTATTATCTGGAGGACATTGTATGTGGTCACATCTGGTGAAGAATGAGCTCTGTCCAAGACACACTATGCATGAATAAATATCTAGCAAGACATGCAGAGGGAATTGATTAAGAGCTCAGTCGTGTGGCCACCCTAAAATCATAACTAGTTATACAAATGATAAAGTATATCTTTAAAAAGACTTTAAAATTATAATGTTAAATGAATATACTTACTTCATTAAATACTTTTGCTTAGCTTCTCTGATAAATACTTGATGGGCTCATATGAACTCTTCAACACCCTTAGTTAAAAGGACAGAACATTTTTGCTGTTTCGAGTTGATTCAAACAGCCCCTTTTCACAGGCAAAAAATTGGATGTTGAATATAATGATAGTATTTTGCAGCTGATCAAAATTGAAAAATTCAGTTTAAAACAGTCTTTCTAGAGTTTAACAAGAAAGAAAGTTGATTTTCCGACACCTTGCCAGTGGGAAGTTGGCAACTGTCTATCTTCTCGGCACACTGGACATTTTATTTAAGAAAGAACCATCCCACAATGATTAATGGCCTGTAGAAACATTATTCCTAAACATAGTCTTACATCACTCAAGTACAATTTACAACTCACACAAAAAATATTTTAACAGCACAAATATAATTTAACTTAATGAAAAGTCTATAACTAAATAAGTTATCCATCAGTGTTTAACTTCAAAAGTTTATAAATACTACTCAGGTAGATTCTTTGCAGCTCAACACCACAAAATGGACCATTTTTATATGTAGAGTACTTATATAGCAATATTGAAAGTTGTGCTGTATCAGCATGCAACATGTACAGCATTTAGAACTTACATAAAACTAGTTTTATGTAACATATCAACTTACTTGAAGTCAAAAAAATAAAATAAACACAAGATTTCAAATATTTTAAACTGAAATAGTGCATATACAGACAGCCATGTCTTACTCATAAAAGTACCTTTACAATAGGTTTAAGCACCTACTTTTATGCAAGTAGCAAAAGGTATAGCTTTTGTGACCTGTGTGATAGAAAATAGCTGAATTTTCTAGTGAAAACATGCCTTGGAAAGGAAAAATGTCTATCATGAAGAGAACTGAGTTAACATTTACTTTGAAGCAGTGCCTGTGAATGCATTATCTGTGAACTTTCAAATATATCTTGTTGCTGAATAAACATCACTTTCAAATATAAATATTCTTTGATGACATGAAAAAGAACCTTTGAACTAATCAGGCAACTTCAACTCCAAAACATGTGATAAAAAGGGGTACAAATTATAATGATATTTGACTGAAACCTTTCAAAATAAATTAATTCAACACTTACATGGAAGTATGTGCGTATATATATATATATATATATATATATATATATATATATATATATATATATATATATATACACACACACACACACACACACACACACACACACACATACTCAAAGCTGAACTTGTTACAACAGTAATACTACGATATTACTTTGTTAAGCATAACTCCACAGAAAAACTAATGTTGTGATAATAGACTTATTGTTACAAACTGCAAGCAGAGGGATGCAGGCAAGGTGGTATTTGCATGATTTCCACAACTATCTTTTTATGATAAATGGAATATAAAATGAAAAAGTAACCAACTTAATTATCTTAACTTTTGACGAGTTGATTACATCCTCGACAAATATTACTCATTCTGTAACAGTATCTTAACCAAGTCCATCGATCTGGAAGGTAACACTTTAATGTACTTGGCATGTCGATCTGCAGCCAGGAATTCCACTCATGCTTATATGATAAATAGAATTTGTGAAACTTACAAGCCAGGAAGCTAAACTGAGCTGAAGTCCTTGGCATTAAAAGGCTATGAAAGTGAAGTAAATCATATTATAAACTGATCAACCTTAAACTATATTATGAGGGGATGCTGAAAAGTGAAATGTTCATGATATTAACCAATTCCCCAAATCTTACTACATGTCCAGACATCTTAGAAACCTTTCTTAGTCAGGCACAGAACTTTTCTGTTACATAATTATGAAATTACATACTCCATGGCAAGAAAGAGTGAAAAAAATTCTTTTAGCTACAATCAAAAGCAATATTTGCTTAATCTTTATTTTTATTATATACATTATTTAATTATGGATTGTTGTCCTTGTCATTATTATAACAATACTTCAGCCATTGTGACCTAATTATTATTATTGAGGGAAAGTGCAACATGGCAACCAAGTGATGCTGGTGTATAAATATTCAAAGCCAAATGGAAACAAAATGTCTTTTATGTAACATCAGAAACAGTTGAAATTTCTATGGCACATAATGAGGAAAGAGAGCTTCGAAAATTTGACACTCACAGGACAGTTTTAAGGTAAGAGGGACAGATGAAAGTAATGTGTAACTTACCTAAACAGGTTGCGTAAATGTCTTGTAATGAATTGAAACTCAGTTCTCCAGTTAACAATTCCAAGACATTATCATTACACCACACACACATCCAAGCTCACAGCACCTAGTATTTTCAAGCTGTCACCCATCTAGATACTGACTGGCTTGATGTTACTTAACTTCAGTGATCGTATGGGAATCAGTGTTTCAACATGATATGGCCACAAGCCATAGAAGATATGAGAGACATATGCCTGGTCTAACATTTGGGTATTTATTATTATTATTGTTTTCAGATTAAGATATTGAAATAGTTGGTAAGCATCTGTTGGGTCACTAAATATATCCGGGGCTGCCTTGGTAATATCTGGTTTTCAAAAACAGATAATTTATTCCTAAATAGAATAATTAAAAGACAGGTAGAGAGAAATTAGAATAATGTAAATTAACATTTTTATTTTCTAGAATAATAAAATGCTAAAGAAGTATAAAAATTTGTACCGTGCCTTCTTTCTGGTTTTAAAAAGAAAAATTATGGATGTTACAAATGTTTTTACTTGCAGGTCCGACACATTATGTTGCAAAAGTTTGTGTCTACCCACAACTTCTGAGCAGACAAGAATACTTCTAGGTATTTTTCTCCCTGGAATTGATACTTCAAATATACAAAACAACCATTCGCCCTTGCATGGAGTATTGCTGCTATATATGGTCTGGGGGCACCTTCTGTTTAGCTCAGAGTTCTTGACAAGATCCAGAGACGGATATGTAATGTAATTGGCCCTGATCTGGCATCTCGTCTGCAGTCACTCTCTCACAGACGCGCCGTCACCCCCTCTGTCTTTTCTACAAATACTTTCATGGTAATTGCTTTGATGAGCTGCTTTCACTGGTTCCCAGACTCCATGAATTCAAGCGCCCTACGAGGCTGGCATCCCGCTCTCACCCTTACACTGTTGAAACTTTTGAATGTAGCCATCTCTTCTACTCCAACAGCTTCATACCTCACACCTCTCGCCTGTGGAACACCCTTCCCAATTACTGTTTCTCTGAGAGCTATAATCTCCAACTATTTAAATGTAATGTCAATCGACACATCCAGTTACCTTGATCTACTCACTATCGGTCTCCTCATCCTTTCTTCTATCACTCCTATCTGCTCTTGCTCCAAATCTTTTGTAACCCCCTGCATCCTAGTGGCTTCACGCCTTGCTAGAGGCGTAATGCTTAAAAAAAAAAAATAGACAGTGTTCTGGTGATTGGCCTTTATAGATCACATCACAGGCCAAGGGTGGTGTATAAGAACTGGGGATAAGAAGGAAAATTATCCCAACATATGGATTTGGATCACCATAACAAGCAGAGAGAAAATGGGCTCATTGGTGCACAGCAAATGACCAAATAATAATCAACATCTTGTTTAAAGAATACTCAAGAAACTTGTGAACATGGGAGAAGATCTAAGAAGAAAATATATATTGACAGACTGTGAATAAATGACTTAGAAATGCAATACTACACTCTAAAACATACACAAAGGATGACGTTGGAGCAATCATTACTCAGGCATATACTGGCTGTAAAAATCCATAAACCCAAAGCTTACTCTTATGCTGTGCTCCAGAATGACTCAATTTAGAAACAAACATAAATAAAGTTTTGGAAGAGATCAGAAACTCAGTGTGTAGCACCTTAAGGGCAGCACTAGTGACAACAGCTAAATAAGTCATCTCCATGAAAAAGAAAGAAGATAAAAAAAGTGGTTGACATGTCAAAGAGAAACAGTGGATAAGACCAGGCGATGTTACAGTATATATGATGTTAAGCAAAAATGTAAGAAATAAGTGTGAGCAAAAAAAAGATATAAAAATAAAAGTACAGAACTTAGCAGGCCCGCAGAAAAAATAAAACTAACGACAGGACAAAAAATGTGCTCTTTGGCAGAATGCATAAAATCTAAAAGAAAAAGGAGGATCATAATGGTAAATATGATATTCCAGAGATGAACAATTACATCCAAGTGTTTTCCCATGACAACAGAGGAAAGAAAACCCTGTAATATATACATCTATAATTTCACTTCTAGCCTAGATGCCACAGATATATGATAAACATGGCTAAATAATCGTTTCTAAATTCCTTTCACCACTGTGAACCAGGATGTTTTGGTTGCAAAATCAGTAAAATATCCACATCCCCTGCCTGACAATCACTAATTTTATTACCTATTTCTGCATCTCCATCTTCTTTTGAATCTTCATCTATTTCATGACCACCACACTAAGATGCAAGAAAAAGATATTTCTCAGGACAAACTTTATCAGCTGCACCAGGAACAAAGAAATATCTTTGGAGATATTGCATCAGTTGGTCTCAAATTGTTAAATTAAAATTACGGAATGTAACACACCTTATGTTACAGTGTTTCTCTTCAGTGCAAGATACAATTTTGTTGTTGGTATTTCTTTAATAATTGTAATAAACCAAAAATGGATAATGGCCTGCTTTGCCAGATAATTACCTCTTCCCATTTCCCCTTCACTCTCAATAAGTCCCCATCACAAAAATTAGGATTTACTAATAATCACAAAAGCAACTGATCTTTATTTCTTTCTTAACTATAAAACATTGAATTTGTAATTATGTGGCAGTTTTATATATATATATATATATATATATATATATATATATATATATATATATATGTGTGTGTGTGTGTGTGTGTGTGTGTTTTGATATATTCAACCAACAAGGTCTCTGTGGTTACATTTTTATTTAATTTTTGAATAAGTTGTTTTGCATCCAAATAAAATGGTGAATAAAGAGTACAAAATACATGTTATTTTGACCCAAGTTGTGTATGCAAATCAAAATTGTGGGTAAACTGTCCTAAGTTCTTGTTTTTAATCTGTTCTTGTTTGAGTTTTTTTCAACAGTTTCTATCATTATCTGTCAATATTTATGAGATGGGGTATTATCTACACTATTTACATTATTCAAACTATTGTCCTCATCTTTATCGCCATATTTATTACAATGTTTCAGCTGTTGTACACTTCGGCTTTCTTCTTTATTTCGCTCACTGTGGCAAACTGTTCTAGTTTCACATGCCATGTCTAATGGATGTCATTTATCTCCAGTTAATGCCCCTCTCCAAGTTCTCCACCATCTTAACCAGGTATTGAACTCACACTCTTTGGGTCCTGTCACTGGATCTAACTAACACCTTTATCCACTGTGACATTCATCCTTGAGGAACTAGAACAGACTACCTCAGTGAGCAAAATGAATGGATCAGTTCAACATGCAAACCACCTGAAGAAGGCTGGAGCATACAACAGTAGAAACGTAATAAATATGGCGACAAAGATGAGGACAATAGTCCGAATAATGTAAATAGAGTTTCTATCATTATCGTAAAGTAAATGCTGTTGACACAATAGGCAAGTATTTGTTAGCTTTACACTGATGATTTTGGAATATTACATTCATATAGATTGAACATGTATCCTAGGCTTGATGAAATCATTAAAAGATTTTCTTTCCTATGTGTGACTTATAGTCAAATTACAGAAGTATATAACATGGCTTTTTAGTAACTTTCTTTCCACACACATTCTCACATCCCAGAACTTACAAGACTGTGGAAAGTGGACTTGTGAGCAATTTGCCAAAATATTCTCTTTTAATGCAAATTGTCTGTCAGACATTGAGCGTTTCTATTATTTTTTCTTTATAATTGCTGTTAATGATTTTATGACAATACATAAAGAAAAGTTTTTTTCAAATCTGAAAATATTTCTTATAACAATAAATGCAGTTTTAGTGAGTGTACATGCTTAAGCAAACATTCTCGTTTGTTTACAAACAGTATAATTAATGTCTACTGGCTTATATAATTGAAAGTGTTATTAAAGAAAATATACATCTCAGTAAGACTTGCATTGTATGTATTTTTTTCTGTAACAGTGTATTTTTTGCCTCATTTGATTGTAACATGCAAAAAATATCCATGAATATGAAAGGATTATGATAAAAATAAGCAGACATGATGTTTATAATTTATTTAATCAGCCATTCCTAACTACACGCATACATATATATATATATATATATATATATATATATATATAGTATTAAGTACCAGAATTGCTGGTTCTTTTTCCAGGTGGAAAAGCCTTTTGAGCAAGCAGGTTTTTGTCATAAAGTGCTTGATATCAAAAGTTAGGATAGAGCATTAATAGAATTAATTTGGAGAAGTTTATCACTTAGCTGAGTGGTATTGAAGAGTGAACATGTTATCGTGATATGCTCACATATCTACATAGTAGGCATGATTGAACTAACACCACTCAGCAAAGTGATAAACTTCTCCAAATTAATTATATATATATATATATATATATATATATATATACACCCCCACAGAACTTATTTTAAACAGACAAAACTGTATGTTTTTTTCCTAAAAGTTAACCTTTTTTTTGGCCAACACTTCATCAGAAGAATTGTTAATTACTAGTAAAATATTAACGAGATTTGAAGAGTGATAAGCAGACTGGGAGGAAACAAGGAATTACAACTAAAATACAATTTAATATTAAAATGGGAGAGAAAAAATAAAAACGGGTAAAAAAAAAGAATGTCATAAAAAATATGTTATTCTCTCACATCATAGAAACGCATCATGAATTTACAACCTGTGTCTGCTATTCTGCCGCTGTTATTGTCACATAGCCAACTTCTATGCCAACATAACAGAATAACATCTTTGATGGTGAATATCTTTGTTGATATAAACACTCTGAAGATCGCTAATGTGAGCCAAAAGCTTAGAACAAGGAACAACATAATAAAAATTCCAAATATTGGACAATTTTTTACTTTATTTTCTCTTGAAATTAAAGCAACCATATGAAGTTTAGAACGGCTCATGATCAAACATAATAGACATTCATTGTCTGTTATATTTAACAATATATGTTTGAAAAATGATCTGCTGCCCCATTACATACACGTGTGTGTGTGTGTGTGTGATGTACTCTCCCATCAACTTCAACATATGAGAATCTGACAACATCATTCATTTTTTATCTTTGTGTTGTATGTGACATTTCAGTCCCGCTAGTAACTTGCATACAAATTCACATATTTTGTAACAGTGAGGACCACAAGAGATAGCAGCAGGAATCTTTGCTGATGCTTTTTGCCATTATCTTTTATCTAGC